CTGCTGACAATTATTTATTTATTTTTGCTCCTAGCTATTATGGCCGCTGAAGAAAAGCGAAAGCAAAAAGAACAGATAAAGATAATGAAACAGCAGGTACAATTTTTCTGTTTGTTAGTTAAGCTCTATAAATCCAGTGATTTTCATTTAAACTCGCATGTTTAATTTATCTGCTAGATTACGCAGCATGTGTATTAATATTTAAATCTCTAAAATATGTAACTATAAAGGATGTACTTTCTGTATTGCTTTGCAAACCTAGATTGTACACTTCTTGATCATAATGTGAGCACATCTCATGAATGGCCTTCTTGACTTCATTGGGTACTGCATGTATAAGTAAGTGCTTACTCATGTGAATCAGAGTTACACAGATTGCCCCTTAGGTTACAGTGAAATGTTCATCTTCTGTGTGTGAAAAGAAATCACATAAGCAGGTATGTTATTGTTAATACTGGTATACCTTTGCTAGCATTACAAATAATGCATTACAAATAATTGCCAATGGTTTTTAGCTCAAAAATAGTTTTATATCAGTTAATTAAATTAGAAATTGTCTACTTTTAAAATACACAACTTTTGTTAAATATTGTTATAACAAATGTCTTAACCAGACGGAATACTTTGAACAATTTTTTATATTTGACTCTTCATAAATTAAGCTATTTGTGGATGGAAGTTTTTCAATATTTTAACAAATATATATCTAAAATTGGAAAAATTGTTTCCCAAAAATAAACCTTTCTGTCTTTCTCTACTTTTGTTCTATTTCTATGAAACATTGTCTACAGAGATCTAAAACCATGTGTTGTCTGATAATACAAGCCTTCCCTTGATTTTCATTTTCTAAACTTTCAAAAAAAGGGTCAAATTCCCTGTTGCTGTAGATGGATATAATTGTATTGACTTGGGTTGAATTATGTCCATTTATAACAACAGAGGATGTTTATAATTTAAATTTCCTGTCTTGATTTTTCTGATAGAGAGCTTTACTAAAATTTTAAAGAGGCCTTTCATATGTGTTTGCTTTAGATCATGTCCTTTTTCTTTCAATTATATTTATGATACTTTTTCAAATTAGTAAATACATGTGAGTAATTATCCAAGTAAGTTTTTAATTTTATTGTGTACAGAGAGCAAGGAATACAAGGCTGATTTAGGCATCTACTATACCAAAAATCAAACTTAACTTGGGAGGAACTTTTTTGTGGCAAAATAATTTGCAGCTTTTTACATAGGCTTCACCAAACCTCTGAACGGGGCTAATTTGTTTAGTGAATGATATCGTATATTAATTGTAATCTCAGACTGTGGATGTTGATAGCAGTTTCTTCTGCAGTCACAATTGATGCATGAAAGAAATGCGTTATTTATATTGTAATCGCACCCAAGAACCCTAATCATGAATTCAGACCTCGTTGTGAAAGGTTTTGTAGAAACAAAAACTGGATGGAATCGACCCGAGGGTGCTGAGCGAGTTGGCTGATGAGATTGCAGAGCCACTGGCCGTTACCCCAGATGATTGGAAAAGGGCAAACATAGTGCCTATATTTAAGAAAGGGAAAAGGGAGGATCCAGGGAACTACAGACCAGTCAGCCTCATCTCAGTCCCTGGAAAAATCATAGAGGAGATCTTCAAGGAATCCATTTCTAAGCAGTTGGAGAAGAAGGTGATTAGGAACAGTCAGCATGGATTCACCAAGGGCAAATCTTGCCTGACCAACCTGATTGCCTGCCTTCTGTGATGAAATGACTGGCTCTGTGGATGCGCAGAGTAGTATACCTTGATTTTAGCAAGGTTTTTGATATGGTCTCCCACAACATTCTTGCAGGCAAGCAAAGGAAGAAGTATGGGCTGGATGAATGGACCGTAAGGTGAATAGAAAACTGGCTGGAACATCAGGCTCAGAAAGTAGTGATCAATGTCTTGATGTCTAGCTGGCAGCCGGTATCAAGTGGAGTGCCCCAGGAGTCAGTCCTGGGGCTGGTTTTGTTCAATATCTTCATCAACGAGCTGGAAGATGGCATAGCGTGCACCCTCAACAAGTTCGTACCTGACACCAAGCTGGGGGGTAGGACTAGGGTACGCTGTAGATATGGAGTAGATACATTGGAGGGTAGTGCTAGGATTCAGTCACCTAGACAAATCAGAGGATCGGGCCAATCTCATGAAATTCAACAAGGACAAGTGCAAAGTCTTGCGCTTAAGGTAGACCAATCCCATGCACCAGTACAGGCGGGGGGCTGACTGCCTGGGCAGCAGATCTGCAGAAAAGGGCCTGGGGGTTACAGTGGACAATAAGCTGAATATGAGCCAACAGTGTATTCTTGCTGTGAAAAAGGCTAATTAGCATAGTGGGATGCACTGGTAGGAGTGTTGCCAGCAGGTCAAGGGAAGCGATTCTTCCCCTCTATTCAGCACTGGAGAGGCCACATCTGGAGTACTGTGTTCAGAAAGGAAGTGGACAAATTGGAGAGAGTCCAGAGGAGGGCAACAAAAATGGTTCTGGGACAGAGGCATATGACTTCTGAGGAGAGGCTGAGGGAACTGGGCTTATTTAGTTTGGAGAAGAGAAGACTGAGAGGGAATTTAATAGCAGCCTTCAACTACCTGAAGGATGGTTGAAAGAGGATAGAGCTAGACTGTTCTTAGTGGTGGCAGATGACAGAAGAAGGAGCAATGGTTTCAAGTTGCAGCAAGGGAAGTTTAGGTTAACTATTATGGAGAATTTTCTCACTAGGAGGGTACTAAAACACTGGAACAGGTTACCCAGAGAGGTGGTGGAATCTCCGTCCTTGGAGGTTTTCAAAGCCCAGCTAGACAAACTTTGGCTGGGATGATCTACAGTAGTTGGGAATGGTCCTGCTTTGAGCAGGAGGCTGTACTAGATGACCTCCAAAACCTTAATTTTCTATGATCTATATGAAAAAACAGCAAGAAAATTCCTGCCCTGTAGATCTTAGTTAAAATAGTGTATTGTATTTTAATTACTTTTGTAGCTCAGTTGTTTTTAAAAAATGGAGCTTGTACATAAATAATGCTCAGCATACTGAAAACGTGCCTTATTTAAAGGACAAACATCTATATTATTTATAGAATCTTCACACTCCATACATTCAGGTTCCATAGGAAAGCAAATAAACCCAAATATCTTTCTATTTGTTTTTTGCCTCAGGGAACCATTAATGGGGATGAAATAATGTGTGATCTTATCATTTTACTATCTAGAAATAAAAATATTATGAGAAAACCAGATATTATTATTTTGGCCTATAAATGGTATCTTGAGGGATTAAAAAGTCAATGGAAATGTAAAAAATAATTCACCTATTTGAAACACAAATATCAAAACCAACCACATGTATTTAGTTCATACAGTAATTAACCAAATGTGTTTTTATTGCCACTGTGAGGACAGGTTGTCTTAAATGTTCTGGGGCAGGGGTATTGGTGTGGGGGATCCAATCAATCCGAGTCTGCCTTTGCAATTAAAGCTTTAACTTTGAAAATACTGAAGACTAGTAAGTCTTAATACTGTTTATACTGGTCTAGAAGTTGCCACCACATCATAATGGATTTTGGCAGCTGCAGCTTCCTGTTCCTGATCTCAGCTGTGGAGGAGAGAAGAGTCATCTCAGGCCTTGGCATGAGTGTTGTACTTGGGCATGCTTCAGCCTTCACCTTAACTGGCTGTATTGCATATCAGACTTAACTGTTCAGATATGTACACAGCACATTCTGATGGTAAATTTGGAAAGTTAAGGCCCTTGATAACACATTCCTTGTGTAGTTGTGTTTCACCAGAACTTCCAGAGTTCTAATGGGAGAGATTTCATCTCTTGTTTTTTAGCTTTAGTTTTAGCTATGGCATCACTATTAATTACACTTTTTTCCCTACTAAATACAATGGTAAAGTCTGTAAACTTTAACTTCAATTTTTTAAAGTGAGAACTAGGTTCATGTGGATTTCATGATGTACATTGTAGCTAGGTACAGACATTCAAAAAGCCTGAGGCAGAACTGATCTGTTGCATGGTTTTCTGTAAGCAATGTAGTTTTAAATCAGTTCTTCTTCTTGTCATGTCTTTGTCATGAAGTAGATGTTTTTCTATAATTGCTCACAAGCTGTTCTTTCCATTGCTTTAGTGAGGTCTTCCTTCATATAGGTCTCACCAAGGAGTAGGCAAGCAAGCATGTGCTCCCTAGTCTGCACTTCACTGCACTTGCTTATATTCATGTTATTAGAGTAACTGCTTCTGATCATGTTTGTTTTTGATCTTCCAGTTTGCATGCACAGGCAATTCAGGCATTGCCTTGTTGGCCAATTTCATTCTGCCCCTCTTAGAAGGTCCTTCTGGGGTTCCAGGTCCATTTCAGAGCACCTGATTGCATGTAATCTTTCCTTCCATTACCTCAGTTGCGCCTTGTCAGCCATTGTGTTCAACGTTGCAACACTGGGCACAAAACTGTTTTGCATTTTAAGCCGTTTACTTACATTTAGATTGGTAGAGAACAGAACACACATTCACCCTTTGGTAGGGGTACAAATCTTAGATCAGGTTCCACCAGTTTTAAACCAGTCTATGTGTGTTGAACTTCTGTTGTGTTACAGCTATAGACTGGCTTTGTGTGCTGAACTTGTGTTCTGTTATGGGTATAGACTGGTTTCTGGTCACTTGTAATGATAAAAGTGTAATGTCTGTACCTGACCTGTAGGTATTTTTGTATGTTGGAAGTTAATTGGGAGATTATGATGAATTTGGCTGTTGTAACATTTTAGAGGCAAAATTATGGTTACCTGGACCTTCCAGCAGCTCATGAGCTAGACATGTACAGAGAGCTTCAGTAGGCATATGTAGTGAAGTCCTCCATTCTTCAGTCAGCTTGCTTTACATGTCTTGCCACTTTGATTACTGTGTAGATATTAAGTGAATAAGATATTGGGCAGAAGGCCAGGAAAAAGGGAGGACATTATGATAAGCTACTTCAGAAATGGAGCTGCTAGCTCCTAATAAAGTGTTGACCCTGTCTGACAGGCCCCCTCTACATGTTGCAATTATGCTGTGATTCATGTGTCAATCATGGGATAAATGACATGGGTGGTACATGTGCACCCAATTTAAGGTGCCATCAAATGGGAAGCCAGCTATAAAAATCTTCCATATCTAATATAGACCATTTTTATGGTTGGTTTGTATGGCAGCTTAAATAGAACGTGTAGCAAGTCCAGGGCTGACCCCCAGGACGTGGACCATCAGCAGATTTTCAGCTTTGGCTTGGGACCACACTGGGGTTTCAAACTGGCCCCAGTGAAGTCTGGGGTTGGTGCCAGCAATCAGTTGATTGTAGAGCTTGGACCTACAGGCACCCAGCTTTTTACTTACTAGTACAGGTGGAGCTCAGGATCTTGATATGACATGTGTGGCAAGGCAGGACACATTATGGTTGGGATCAGATTCTATGGTGCCTTTAGATGAACATATGCCATGGACCCTAAGAGAACCCTTAATGTTTGCCACAATGGACCCCTGTTTGGTCTGGGCTGCTGCCTTGGTGGGTGCCTGGAAAGCCCTGGTTATGTAGATGGGGAAAGAAGGTTTATGGCAAGCTAGGATTACAGATTAACAAGTGATATACCCGGGGAACTGGGAAGGCAGACAGCAGCAAGTTTAAAGACCCACGAAAGCAGCTGCTGGAAGCTAATCTTGTGTTGGTTTTTCAGCCCTGCTAAACACTTCTCAGTCCTGGTGCTTAGCCAAGTTACTTTATTACAGATGCCAGACAAGACACCCCCCGCCCCCAGGTTCTATTCTGTTCTACCTACTTGCTGAAAACTAAAAGTAGACCATCCAAGCCAATGACTACTTGCTATTTCAAGGCCTAATGGGAATAAAAGTATACAGTACTTAATTGTGCATATTCCAGCCAGAGCAGATGTGTCTAGGCTAACTACTGGCTGACTTATGCAGATAGTTCTGGCAGCACAGTATTCTCAGAGGGGCTTTACTCTATAACCCAAATAGTGTGATCTGTGAAGGCTGAGGAATGGCTGTTAGAATTAAGCAGTGAACAGTAGAAAACAATGAGGATTTCAGAACTTTCCAAATTCCTGGCAGAAACACACCACATCAGTGCACTTTCTTTTTTTAAGTATTTCAGCTAGGTAGGCTAACCATCAATGAGCCAGGATCTTGCCTTTGTTACTCATTTGTATTGTCATCAGTTTTATACCTTTTCACAAAGTTAGCATTAAAAAATGGTGACTGCCTAAACATTAATTTATAGGCATGGCTTCAGCTTTCAGTGCAGTCAGAAACCCATGAAATAAATTAATAGAGAACATTGCATTAACACTTTTAATCTTACACACAATTGAATTGATTGGAAAATGAAAGGAAATATATAGATCTGACTTTCTGTAAATAACTGGAGATCTTTTCTTTATTTTTATATGTTAAAGGAGAAAAATAATCTCTTTTTCGCTCCTTTGTTGACATGATTTGAAAAAGTTAAATGATTTTTTCTAATTTTTCAGGAGAAAATTAAGAGAATTCAACAAATCAGAATGGAAAAAGAACTTCGAGCTCAGCAAATTTTAGAGGTAGAAACAATAAATTAAGTATATGTTTTCATCCTCTTCAGGAATGCTGTTTTTTCATTGCTGTTTTATCTGCATGGTTGCCATTATTTGATTATAATAGGTTCTACTTACAAATTCTACAGTCTTGATTCAAATGTTATCCTGCCTCACTATATCATAACTTTTAAAAATAACTATAGATGAAAATATGGCCCCTGTCATGCAAATACCTTACATGTATGCTTAACTTATAAGAACAGTGCCTACAAAATTAGTACTTATACTTAAAGCTAAACAAGTGCATGGTTGTAAGATCAGGTTGTGAAATAGTAAGGAAATCTGCTTTATGTGAAATTAGTTCCTGACTCTGGGTATGGATTACAAGCACTATGGTTTTAAAAGATAAATTATAGTGGCAAGAAAGAAAATATTTAACTTTTATCTTGATTGTGTGAAGAGTTGTAGGAAAATGTGTGACGCCGACATTGAATAGCATGAGTCTGATCTTTATGATATATGTGCATGGTCTGTTTTTAAAAAAAAACATAAGCATTCATATTGCAGATGGTTGTTTCATATAATGTACCTATGTCATGTACAACTAAATTAAAGGATTTTCTATTTAAGATTTCTGTTTCAGATCTCTGTTTCTGATCTGTCTGACAACAGATTTCTTTTTGATCTCAGTTGTCTTATTCTATTATTGATACTGTTATAAATTAAATGAGTAGGAATATTATTTGCATAACATGTTGTTGAGCATTCCTTATATTGGCTTTAATTGCACATTTTAAATTGCATCAAATATGTATTTTAAAATTTTAAAAACTGATAAATCATTGACTAGTTTTCAACCTACTGTTTTATGTAAAGATAAAAATTTAATCTCCTAGCCAATAATAGTTTTAAATGAATTATTTTCAGATACTTATGTTTCTTGGTTATAAATATGCAAGTGGAGCAAATTTTGAAAGTGCTTCACTATTCTGGTTTGATTTGGGTAAAAAAGTGAATAAATCATTAAATTATTAGTGATGCAAAATGTACTGGGGAAGAAATCTGTTATAATGTCTACATAAGATGTGATATTGTTTTGCACTTTGTGAGGCATGTAGCTTTATTTCTAGTCTGAGATGATTTTCAAGTTGTAGTGGTGCTGTTGCATGACCTTGAGACCTGTTTTGCATGCACAGGCAAAAAAGAAAAAGAAGGAAGAAGCGGCAAATGCCAAATTATTGGAGGCCGAGAAACGAATAAAGGTTAGTTTAGATGAGCATCAGAGTTTTTATTTTCAAAAAATAAAAACTGTTATTGTGCCTTATGCTTATCAAATAATGTGGGAAGAGTATATTCAGCAGACTCTGGTAGGATTCTAAAATAATACTAATAACATAATACAAATAAATACAATGCACAGTGTCTGTCTGTTTGTCTGTCTGTATAAATATGTTTTATATTTTAAGTGTTGTTACCAGAAGTTAGGCTTAGCTGATGCTAGGTTTGAGCAGCTCTAGAAATGCTTGCCAGACCCCATATGAGATACCATTGTCCACAACTTCCTTTCTGTTTTATGCATACTATGAGGAAGTCAGTTGCTACCTGTTGCTATTTTAGTCATTTAACACTGAAAAACTTGATATATTTAAAACCATGTACTCTCAGAGCTGCCAAGTTTTCTTGTCATATCCTGATCCTCAGTTCAGTAGATTTGCTGTCATAAACTGGTGCTATGTGATGTACAGTTTATGAAAAAATGGAGCAAAAAAACCCTGAGAACTCAGACATTTAGGGTGTAACATTACATGAACTTTGCATCTTATTTCTAAGTAATGTTTGTAAGTTTTTAAGTGCTTTTTTGTTTTCATGTTTAAGGAGAAGGAGATGCGAAGGCAGCAAGCTGTTCTTCTGAAACATCAGGTCGGTATATACACAATTGTCAGAATACTAGCAAATGCTATTTTTTTAACTACTGTTTAAACTACTGGGGGAAAATAACTTCAAAATATCTTCTTTTTAAATTGCTGATTTTGATTCCTGCACAAGTTTTTCTTTTAATCTTATGGTTTATTGCCTTGCTTTGGTATTGGGGTCTTTTTGGGGATTATAAAGTGGTTTTATGACTTTGTGATTTCTGTTTCATAATGTTGTGCCAACTCTTTCTACCAGGAGTTGGAGAGGCATAGACTAGATATGGTATGGGTATGTTTATTTTTGTACATCTAACACCGCATTGTGATTTGGTTGTGATATGGTTGTCATAGCAATGCATAAAATGTAGCACTGGCTGCTGTCATATTACATACTGCTGCATGGCTTTACAGCACAGTGCATTGCATACATCTGCTTGTCTTGTCTATTAAAGAAAACAAGTAAGACTTGTCTCAAATGTTTATAAATTGAACAATCTATGGCAATCTATAAATGAGGCTGTTGACTGGAAATCTCCATTACTGAGGTCACAATATAAGGTGGACTGTTAACTAAAATCAGGCTTGAGCTTATGAAAAAATTCCACTTTACCTTTATTGGGTAATTGTTTGTATAAAATTTTCCAAGTCTTGTTCCATTTTTGGGGATCAGTTGAAAGTTTTTACTATCATTTTGGATTAGAATACTACATCAGGAACTATCTTCCCCATGTTTGTTCAGTGTTGAGCACATTAGTTTTTAATAAATAATACATGCATAATATTTTAATATGAAAGTGAAAGGAAATGTGTTCCTAGCTTCATTGAAGAAAATAAACTCCCATTGATTCAGTGGAGCCAGGATTTAATTTTAGAGTTTTTAAAGTTAGGTAGAAAGGACATTTTTATTTTCTTCTATACTACTGTAGTTCGTATTGAAATTAAATGTATCAGCATATGCCAGGATGCACTTTTGTGGCTTTACATTTAAGGATAGGCATCAGTAAATAGGAATACTCTACTTTATTCATGTTTTATATGAACCATGCCTAGTTTAATTAAAACTGGTCTCAAGACCAAAAAACTCAGCATATTAATTCATTGAATTTGCAAACAAGATTTTCTTTACAGAAAATAGGAAGCTAAATCATTTAGAAACGTCACCTTTTGCAATATTTTAAATGATCAGGAATACAGCCTTCTGTTTAATTGGCTATTCATTAAGATTGCAAGTTTTCTAATAGCAGATGTAAGGTAACTGACCTGTTCCAGCCAACCATTATGCTTTTTGTTCTGCCAGCTTATGAAGGAGCATCACAACTGACCATAAGTAAATTTGTATGCTTCTGTTTTACACTGTCTCCATGTTCATTGCTTTACCTTTTTGCTTTTGATTGTTCTTGTATTTGCTTTCTAAACCTGAACTAAAACATGCACAAACTTGGCCATTCTTGTCTTATATTTAGTATTTACTGTGACTTGTCTATTAATGCTAAACTTGTTGTACTGAGCTTTTAGAAAAAATTGATACTTAAACTGTATTTGAGTCTTGTTCTAATTTTATCTGCTTTAATAGGAACGAGAAAGGAGAAGGCAACATATGATGCTTATGAAAGCTATGGAAGCACGTAAAAAAGCAGAAGTGAGTATTTACCTCTGGAAAAAGTGTGAAGTTTCTTTTTAATATTTTGGCTGCTGTCTCCTTTCTAAAGCAGCAGGCATTGCAGTGACTTGAATTCATGTGCTTCCTGACCCACAAGCTATTTTATAAGAGCGGTGTGTGGGCCATATCAGAGTCCCAAGCATTTCCTGCCAAATATGATCCTCCTCTCATCGGCTGCTTGTAACTGTGACCGGGACGTAGTCCCTTAAATTGAAACCAGTGAGTTTTTAATTGTGATGATTAAAAACCCACCATTTCAATTTAGGGGTTTCCATCACTGTTATGGAAGCTCTCACCACTAGGCTCTGCTGAGGGGAAAAAAAACCCAGTGAGGGGCGTGATCCTCTTTTTTTTTCATGGAGACTGCCCATGTCTCCCATGGCCAGGAGTACAAGCTGCTGGTGGGCCAAGCGGCTCCTGAGCTGCAGGAGGCCCCAGTCCTTCCCTCCATGGTGATGTCGCCCCACAGGGCCGCCTGCGTGGGTTGCTAGCCAGTGGGTGCCACCGCTGTGGAGGGAAGGTCTGGGGCCCCCTGCAGCTCAGGGCTTATTGGTAGTTCACCCCCTGGCTGCAGGAGAGGAAGGCAGGCTTCATGGAAAAAGAGAGGCTCAAGCCCCTCACTGCTTTTTTTTCCCCCTCAGTGGAGTCTGCCTGCACAAGCTACCACTGGGCTGGCCAGCCCCTGAGCTGCGGGGGAGCCCAATTCTTCCCTCGATGATGGTGGTTCCCCCTGGGGCTGCCTGGGTGGGGTACTAGCTGCACAGGTGCTGCCCCCACCAGATCCAAGTCTTCCCCAAGCCCATGGTCTAGAAGCCTTCCAGGCGCTGCTCTCCACATGGGCTTGGAAAGAGTTGGATCCGGTAGGTGCTGCCTGCAAGCTGGGGCAGCACCTGCGCACCTCGCACCCAACCCGAGCGGCCTTGTGGGGGTGCTACCACCATGAAGGAAATGACTAGCCCCCTCTGCAGCTCAGGGACTGCATGGCCTGGCAGCAAAAAAAAAAAAACCTGATAAATCATTGACTAGTTTTTAACCTACTGTTTTATGTAAAGATAAAAATTTAATCTCCTAGCCAATAATAGTTTAAAATTAATTATTTTCAGACCTTTCTTCCATGGCGGTGGGGCCATCCAGGTGGGCTGCTAGTAGGTGGGTGCTGTCCCAGCTCACAGGCAGCACCCAGTCCGATACAGCTATTCCCTGAGCCCGAGCTAGGGGAGCACCTGCCCGCTAACAGCCCACCTGTGTACAGTGTGACGCAATTAAACTGCAAAAATGTCCAAATTTCATTACATGTACAAGTGCCCACTAGGACAAATTTTGTAAATAATCTTATATAATAAAGAGCTTAGTCCGTCTGTCTATTTGTCCGCAACTGTCTTGGATCACTCTGATTGGTTAGTGAAACAACCAATCTGAGTGTGGAGTGCCGCCATGCTGGCAGGGATGGTAGGGATGGAGCGGGGGGGTGAGGAGTAGGGCTGGGGGGGTGAGGCCAGTGGTACTGGAGGTGGCGACAGCGCGGGGTGCTGGCAGAGGGGGATGGCGGGGCAAGCTTCCTCCCCCTGCTCCTGGGAGGTGGTGGTGGCATGGAGTGGTGGATGGCAGTGCTCTGTTCCCACCCATCCCCACTCCCATCATGCTTGATGGTCAGTTGGCTAGTAGCTCTATAAGAGTCAGACACTAGTCATACTGGTTAGTGCAAGGCATAAGGTTGGACATAAGCTGAGCAGATTTCCTAAGATAAATATTCAAAATGAAAACATTTTTCTTATTCCAGTCTTGGGCTCTCAAACTTTGGCTATGTGCAGCTCTCACAGTAGAAACCACAAGCATGCAGGCATTCACACAATTTTTCCTGGAACAAAAATAGCAGTTGCAGGAGAAAAATAGTCTATCTCAATCCCAGCGGAGGTCACTCCTTGGAGAGTTTCTTCTGGGAGAACAAATACTTGTACACATTCTTGCCACTTGACACCTGCCAGGGGTCAGGAGGAGTTGAGCAGCAGGGAAATGCTCCCCATACCTTTCCAAAACCAGGGTCACCCTCACTGGGGAAGGCACATGGAGCCACCCCTGCATACCTTGTCCTGGTCCCTGGCAGGGAAAAGCTCATGTGCCTTCCCAAGACCAGTCTGGAGGGAGGTGCAAGGGGGAACTGCTATCACCCTTGCCATAGACTTGGAGAAGAGGGCAGGAGCAGCTGCTTCTTGCTCCTTGTCTGATCTCCAGACCCCAGAGTGCCTAGTCTGAGGAGCTGGTAGGCAGGTTTGCTCAAATTATCCGGTTATTTAATAAACTGGATTAGAACTGAAAACTTCTTGAAAACACAGATTCAAGACAGTTGTGCTGCAACAATACCAGATATCACCTTTTAACTTTGCAGAGGAAAAAGGTGGTTACATAGCAACTGGAAAATATGTTTTTGACAATTCTGTAGGTCATTGAGAGCAGTCAGTGTGATGCACAACTGCATGGTACAAAACTAAGCAGCTACTAATATTGCAGCCTCAGTAAAAATTGTTTCCTCTTCTTAAGCAAGTAGAAAGTATAATTAAATGTAAGAAAGATCATTTGGACTTTCAAAAGCTCCTTATGATATTTAAAAAACGTGGATATAAATTTCTCACTGCAGAATTTCCAGCAATTGGTTTCATATTTGTGTAAACATTTTGACATTGCTTTTATTTTAGGATTGTTGCTCTTTTCAATTTGTAGACTTTTCTATTTAAATTAAAAAGTGCTTTTTAATTTAAACAACTCAAGTATTGCAGTAGACTAATTTGCATAAACTTGGTTTATTGCACAGTTTTCTAGTGACCGTTGCTTACTATGAGAACAAGGGCCTCAAATTCAGTAGAACTGTTGCTATGCTTTCAGTTCTGCAAAGCTTGAGCCAAAATTACCTGTAGTTACCAGAGACCACTGTCTAAACAACTGCAGAATTTAAATTTTCTTCAATATCTAGCTCAAATGAGTATCAGGTTTGTATTAGAAGGAACTCAGAATATTTATTAGGTAAAATAATAAGCTTTACTCATTGACTAAAGTGGATTGGACATATACCAGCAGTCCTTACTTAAAGGCCCAATCCAAAGCCCATTGAAATCAATGGATATGTTTCCATTGAATTTAATGGGCACTGTTCAGGCATTTAACTGGCTAGTACCCCTGTGGCTATGGCTTAGGTTCATATGAGGAAGCTGTCAAGGCTATTCATACTTCAGTTCCCTTAAATTGCACCAAGTTCATATGTACTTGTGAAACAAACCCTATCTGTCAACTTGGTAGAAACTTCAGTTTGACAGGAACGGTACCTCTACCGTTAGCTGTGAAGCTTGCAGCTTTGGGAGCCAGTGCATGGGGAGCTTGGGACTGTGATCCTGGGCTCCCCCTGCACCAGCGATAAGGTGCAATGGGTTCTAATACACAATTCCACAATCATGCCTCCTGCCATGCATGTGGCATGGCAGGAGGTGCAATTGTGTGGCTCATGCATTAGATCCCATTGGGTCTTTACCTGCATGTGTAGAGGAGCTCTCTGTGAAACAGTTCAAGGTTTGGGTTATCAGTGCAACAAAGGCTACATCCTGAATTCTCATTTTTTCAGAAAAACAGCAAAGACCCAGAAATGGAGCATCTCTCCATAGAGGTTCTAACTATAATGTAGTTTCTGCCAATTTTTGCAGACTAAGAAGATTCAAGCCTAAAGCACTTTAGTATGATGTATCCAAGTATTTGAAGTTCATGATATTATCAAGGAGAAATATCTCCTGCATCTCTCAGAGATTTTATTTTATGGTAAATCCCTCTGTTCTGAATAATCCCTTGAGCAAAGACTTTGAAGTATGCTACCTATTGCTGTTACAAGAAAGACTTTTATTTTTATTATAGTACAGTAAAGGGTTTTTGGTCCTTTTTTTAAAGCTGTGGTCTTCCCATCTTTGTGTTTCTTTCTCAAACAAGCCTTTAAAGGATAATACTCTGCATTCTGAACCTTCACAAATAGACATATTTGACTGTTTGATTCGGGAAACATTTCTTCTGAGCCAATACTGACAATCCTCTCAGGATTGTTTTAGAGTTGCTTTTTTCTTACATTACTTACATTTTAAGTTTAGTTTGGAATAATCATTTTTTGAAATCTGTATCTGGGGTGATTGTACCCCTCATTAGTATACTCTATTAATTTTCCCTTGCAATTTCAGGTATAAAATTTTCTTTTCAGTTCTGGGTAATGTGATCCATATGTGTAGTTTGTACATTAACTAAGTTTGTAAAAAAAATGTTCTGAGGTTCCTTGGAACAAAAAGTGTGCTATGCATACAAAATTATGTATGCTATCATCTTTAAAGTTGAGTAAAGAAATAATTCTAAAATAGGGATTCGTGAAGACTTCTATCTTCAGATATCAAGGGACAGATAGCAAGGGATATGAAGGGGAATAAGAAGGGTTTCTACAAGTATGTCAGCAGCAAGAGGAAAATCAGGGAAAGTGTGGGGGAGGCAACCTAGTAACGGATGTTGCAGAAAAGGCTGAAGTACTCAACGCCATTTGTACTTCAGTCTTCACAGGCAGGGTCAGCTCCCAGACTACTGTACCTGGCAGCCCAGTTTGAGAAGGTGATCAGCCAAAATGCTGAAAGAACAGGTTAGGGACTATTTAGAAAAGCTGGATGTATGCAGTCCATGGGGCCGCATGCAGTGTGCCCAAAGGTACTGAAGGAGTTGGCTGATGTGATTGTAGAGCCACTGGCCATTGTCTTTGAAAACTTGTAGCAATCAGGAGAGGTTCCAGACAATTGGAAAAGGACAAATATAGTGCCCATCTTTAAGAAACAGAAGAAGGAGGATCTGAAGAACTATAGACTGGTCAGCCTCACCTTAGTCCCTGGAAAAATTATGGAGCAAATCCTCACTGAATCCATTTCTAAGCACATGGAATAGGAGAAGGTGATTGGGAATAGTCAGCATGAATTCACCAAGGGCAAGTCATGCCTGACCAACCTGATTTGCCTTCTCTGATGAGCAGACTGGCTCTTTGAATGTGGGAAGAGCAGTGGACACGGTATACCTTTTGATATGGTATCCCACAACATTCTCACAAGCAAGCTAAGGAAGTATGGGTTGAATGAATGGACTGTAAGGTGGATAGAAAACTGGCTGGATCATCAGGCTCAGAGGATAGTAATCAATGGCTTGATGTTCAATTGGCAGCCAATATCAAGTGGAGTGCACCACGGGTTGGTCCTGGGTCTGGTTTTGTTCAATATCTTCATCAACAACCTGGACGATGGGATGGAATGTATCCTCAGCAAGCTTGCAGATGACACCAAGCTGAGGGAGTAATAGATTTGCTGGAGGGTAGGGTTAGGAATCAGAGTCACCTAGACAAACCAGAGGATCGGGCCAAAAGAAATCTCATTAGGTCCAATAAGGACAAGTGCAGAGTCCTGCACTTAGTACAGAAGAATCCCATGCAGTGCTACAGGCGGGGGGCTGACTGGCTGGGTAGTAGATCTGCAGAAAAGAACATGGGGGTTACAGTGGGCAGAAAGCTGAATATGAGCCAACAGTGTGCCCTTGCTTCAAAAGAAGGCTAACAGCATACAGGGATGCACTGGTAGGAGTGTTGCCAGCAGATCAAGGGAAGCGATTCTTCCCCTGTATTCAGCACTGGTGAGGCCACATCTGGAGTACTGTGTTCAATTCTGGGCCCCTGACTACAGAAAGGAAGTGGACAAATTGGAGAGAGTCCAGAGGAGGGCAACAAAAATGATTCTGGGACTGGGGCATATGACTTCTGAGGAGAGGCGGTGGGACCTGGCCTTATTTAGTTTGGAGAAGAGAAGACTGAAAGGGGATTTAATAGCAGCCTTCAACTACCTGAAGGATGGTTTGAAAGAGGATAGAGCTAGACTGTTCTCAGTGCTGGTAGATGACTGAACAAGGAGCAATGGTTTCAAGTTGCAGCAAGGGAAGTTTAGGTTAGATATTAGGTATTAGATATTAGGAAAAACTTTCTCACTAGGAGGGTAGTAAAGCACTGGAAAAGATTACCCAGAGAGGTTGTGGAATCTCCATCCTTGTAGGTTTTTAAGATCCTGCTAGATAAAACCTTGGCTGGGACAGTATAGTTGGAGATGTTCTTGTTTTGAACAGGGGTTTGACTAGATGACCTCCTGAGGTCTCTTCCAGCCCTAATTTTCCATGAAACTATGGTTCCTACTTCTGTTCCTTCTGTGCTATGCAATGATAGCATTATGCAGTATGGAGTAGTCGCTACCTGCTATTTTGCTCTAGATTGGTACTGTGATATGAATTAAAGTTCCACCTT